GAAAGATATGTTTTATGTTGTTTATTGAATAAAAAAGGCATGTCAGTAATGCATATGTCCGGCCCTTAATGTGATTCCAATTTCCCAGAGAGGCCCTTTGTGAAAATGAGTTTGACACCCCTGATATACAGTAAGATGTGCAAGTCTTTTTTTAATCACTTTACATTACTTCTTTAAATGGTTTTGTTTTTTACAATTATAATTTATTATCTTTTATGAATATATCTGGTTGTATATATTGCTCATTTTCCATAAAAGAAACAAATGTATTTGAGTTTTTGTTTTATTTGAGTTTGATGCATACAAATACTGTACTGTATATGATGATTGTTGACAATGTACTTTTACCATAAAAAGCCAGCTCGACCAGTTGGTAGAGGCTCATAAAAACAAAATGGTGTGGTCAGTCAAAGAAATCCAAATTGTTTGTGGTTATTTGTGTCCCATTTGATAAAAATATGCAAACAAATCATTTTTCCATAGCTTTTTTCTTGGTCTGGCCATTAAAAAGGGCTAGAGGTAAGATAATAGACAAACAAACACAAATTATTTTCCAAAACATGTGTGATGTTTTTACTTAACTAAACATAGCACAACCAGCTTTATTTGTCTGTGGAGAGATGAGAACACGCAGGTAACTGAATCTGGGGATCTGAAGTCTGCTTTAACTACAAGTTTGTGAAACTCTAGTTTGTGTTATTATTCACTTAAATTGTCCACCATTACCATTTCCCTCTGGCTTGGTCTCAGAAGCCGGGGCCAACCTTTCCCGTGGCATCCGGAAAACAACAGTACACCCGACCCGGCGCATTACAGCTCACTTCAGTGACAGCACAGAGCCTCTGGCACTGGCAGGGTATTAGGACCATCACGGACTACAAACCGCCACCACAGACCTGTGACAGTGACACCTCTCTGCTGAACAACGTCAACAGCTTCTCCACACGCTTTGAAGCACAGAAAACCACAATAACATCCAGGCTATTTTTCTGTCACTAGGCAGAAGGAGCACACTGTTAAGGATTAACCCCTGCCAAGCTTCTGGACCTGACAACATTCCTGGTCGTGTGCTAAAACAAACACTTCAACTTGTACAATTTTGAATCTGTATTTTTGAATATCGATCTTAAATTGGCGTGGCGTTGAAGTCGTGCGACCATGCTGTAGTTTGTTATTAGCATAACGTTAGCATTTTGTTTCTGACGATTAGATGTATGATTCGGAAATTATAAAAGTAGGGTAGACATGTGGATATTATCCGGCTGAACAAAACGTGCATTAATCAAACAGGTTTGTTTTCCACAGACCTTATTTCGAGCTATTTTCCAAAATGCTATGGAGAAATCCCATTGCTTTTTTGTTGAGGGAACCGATGCGCAGCTTACTTCCGGGTAAATACGTCATCTCTGCACCACTCTATTGTCTCTAAGATTTGTTGGTCCAGGATGTAGGTTCAAGTCTTTACACAGTTCACCTGAATCGTGTGTGCATTGTCTTCTTCAACCGTTGTAAACGCTCTCAAGGTGTCAAAAACTACAAGGCCTTCCTAGAATTGTGGTGGAAACTTTATGCTTGGCTTGCAAATTCTAAGATGCACTATGAGCACAGTTCAAAAGTTCAGGATGTTCTATGTCTGGTTTCATATGTCTAGTAAGACATTTCTGAGAAATACTTCCTTTCCATCAAACCAAACTAAAGCCAATTCAGCATTTATTTATCAATGGTAAATTGAATAGAGGTAGGTGAGGTCTGTCACGGCCACTTAAAAAGCAGATCTGTCAACAGTACATATACATATATATTTTTCTGTATATTATTAACCTTTGGGAATTTAAGTCTCCCTCTTTGTAACACACAATCACAGATATTGATAATAAAGTTCACTTTGACATTTTACTTTGACTAACAACTTGCTTGGCATAGGCCTGTTATCCATTGTGCCGTGCAACAGACAAATGGAGCCAGAGTTCAGCTCTGTCTGTTAATGATTGTTTTTCTAGGAGCGAGTTTAAAACAAGGATCAGGCTACAGCGTCTTGACAAACCGGCACCATGAAGCCGGAGCAGCATGTCTCCGTTTGTGTCCTGCTGCTACTTTCTGTGACATGGAGCGCAAGTGGAGGGAACATTTTGGTGTGGTTCACTGACGGCAGCCACTGGATTAACATGAAGCCTGTGCTGGAGACGTTGGTCGACAGGGGACACCAGGTGAAGGTGCTGGTGCCGAGCACGTCCATGTTCATGAACTCTAATGAACTTTCACCCTTTGGCTATGAACCCTTTAACGTCTCCGTCTCAATAGAGACCATGGAAGAGTTTTTTGAAGAATATCTTCGATTCTCAATGTATGAGATGGATCATATGAGCTACGTTCAGCTTTACATCAAATACATGGATCTAATGAGAATCGACCTGCAGTATACTTTGAAGTTCTTGGACGGTGTGCTGAAATCAGAAACGATTATGAAAAAGTTGAAGGACGGAAAATATGACCTTCTCTTGGTTGACCCCATTTACCCCGGTGGTGACTTATTAGCAGAGCTTTTGGGCATCCCCCTGGTCTACTCTTTCCGCTTTTCCCTAGCCCACAACTGGGAGAGATATTGTGGTCAGCTCCCTGCTCCTCCCTC